TATAAATATTTATACATGAACTTCTAAGTGTTTGAAGAACATTGTGCCAATAATATATGCCAAATCTTATGCGTTTACTCTGAGAATTTAAAACTGCACTAAGAAGTCTAATTGATGTCGAGGGCTGAAGTTTTTATTCAGTAAACCCTTTGTAGGTCAGACAAGTCATCAGCTGGTAAGCTGTGCTCCCATGTCACAGACTTTGTAAATCGTTTTGTAGCAGCCTGGCTGAAGCAATAACCAGTAATGTTCCTGTGCAAATTCATGGCAGTGGGGGGGGGGGGGTCTGAAATTCAAGCCAGACATTTGCAGAGTGCAGTTTGGCTTTGGTTTTGTAGAATGAAATGCTCTTTAGATACATTGGATCTCCTGAGTATAAACGGCATATTCTTTAAACATCTATTTTTGTCTGTATTATACTGAAACTGTAGAAATATTTTGTATACAGGAAAGCTGCATGTGGGGCCCTAAAAGCCTTCACTCTTCCCTTGGTGCTCACAGAAAGGATGAAGATGAGTTGTGCCTCTAAGAACCGGCCTGAGGCAGACGGGAGTGGGATGGTCCCGTTCAGCAGCCACGGGCCCTTTTTTGCCCCCTTCCTGAGCCTGGCTGGAACTCTGAGGGTGATTCCAGTGACCAAAAAGAGTTGATTGGCCCTTGCCCTCCCCCTCCCTGAGAAGTGAAGTATTATTTTCAGCACTTTAAAGTGTTATTGCTCAAAAATGGGAGTGATAGATGTTTTCAGGAGTTACGATTAGGGGATCGCCCTTAAAATATGCATGAAGAAAAGGAACTGCCAGTGTAGATTGACAATGTGTTCTTAAATTTCTCCGTAGGTTGTACTGTGTGGGATTTCATAACTGTAAAAGGGATTGAGGTTTAGGATGCCCTAGAGAAGTGTTTGATAAAACTAGACAGGGCACGGGCATGTTTGCTGGCCGCTGTTAGGCAGTAGTAGTGTCTGGTCATTATAAGTGGTAGTAGAAATCCTAGGACTCTTCAGTTTTGGTGGCTAAGCATTTCTGAAAGCACCATTTTATCTAAAATGTCGGTTTATATTGTTAATTTCATGGGAATTTTAGTATTGCCCGAAGTATTTTCTATTATATGTTTTTGCAGTCCTGTTGTATTTTGTCCTTGCCGCAGCTTGTGTATCTATTCTCAAAGTTAATGTAAAATTCTTCACACTACAGTAAACCTTTTTGTTTTCCACATTCTGAGTCTGTTTGAGCTCAGCGTGTCTCGAGTACTGAGAACCAGAGGCAAGGCGAGGCTTTAAATATCCACTTTCACTGAAGACCACAGCCTGGAGTCTCTCACCTTGGTGTTTAGAAACCTTTGCAGCGTGCACAACTGCAGTCTCCCGCCAGCTTTCTGATTCCTGCTGTCTGTGATTAACTTCTTACTCTGCACTACGTGAGAATGGAGATGTAGTTAAATCTTCTGAAGTCTCTTGGTATGCAAAGGAAGGAGGAAGGTACTCAACGTTATACAACAAACACCTCTGTACTTAATGCTGCTGAAATTTGCTTTGAGCTCACGTGCAACTGGAGGTCAAGAAAACTGTTTCCATACAAATTACTTTTAACACAGTGCAGCTGTTCACCTGCAGTGCTGTTGAATACGTGCATTTATGTGTTCTGAAGGCCAAGCTTTACTATTTGCACAATTTTCCCACCCAGTGCATGCTTTGGAAAAAAGAGGCCTGTGCTTCCAGCTTCTGCTGCAGCCGTAACTAAGGGAAAAGCTGGCACTGTCAGTATTAAATACGAAAAGTGGTGCCGCCGTGTCACATTATATTAAGTGTTTTACTTTTGCTTTTGTAATTGAGCTACTGTCTGTTGCCTTAGAGAGAGCAACAGAGGAGCTTCAGGCCGAGTATCTGTTTTTGTCAGTCAGTATCTATTGCTCTTTTCTGGTGGTGGTTGTTGCTTTTTAAACATTCTGCTATCAGCTTTCCTCTCCCAGTGCTGGTTGTGACCAGAGACTTGCGCAGCTGCCTACGAATAATGCTGTGTTCAGCAGGATCAGAGAAAGTTGCGTGCGCTGCCTTGTGCGTGCTGGGATTGTTGGATTCAGCTCCCAGCAGCTTGAAGCCGTTGCTGTGGAGGCGTGGGAGGGTGCAGAAGCTGCTGCCCACACAGCCGCAGCGCAGCTCCAGCTCAGCGCGAGGAGCTCACTGCAGCACTCTTCCTTTGGTGACAACGATGCTCAGCAGGTAAACCACACTTCAGATGTACAAGCAAACAGGCACAAACGGGTCTATTAAACTCATGGAAAACTCATTTTATTTTAAACTCTGTAAAAGCTGTAATTATAAATATGACAGACTTAAATGAACGGACATCACTGGGGAGCACAGGCAAATTGACAAGCTTCTTCCAGTTACTTTTCTGTTGGAATCTTTACGTATCCTGATATGTAACGTGATGGTAGCTGCCCTCATGGGTATAAAAATAAGTCTCTGGTGTATCGTAGTACTTGTGAGCAGTAAGAATGTATAAAGCAAGTTAATGTAGGAATTCTTTTACTCTTTGGCATTATCACACGATATAATATGCTCTTGTTTGACTAAGTGATGAAAACTTCTATGGTTCTGTACATAGATTTAATTCTAAGCAGCTGGTTGTTCCAACACCTCATAGCTCACATGGTCAACTGTGTAATTACTGTAGAAAACAGTTCAGTGAAATTTGCATCAGGAAAGTAGGACTGAAACTCAGACTCATGAGGCAGATGCGATAGGAAGTGTTGTTACCATTCATCCATGTACTGAATTGCAGAAAGCCTTGGAAAATTGATGGGATGAGTCCTTCAGAATCAGACCATGCATTCCCAACACAACAATCACAGAGATGCCTGTGCTGGAAGGGAGGTGGCTCACCCTGAGGTATCAACAGCAGCACATAGGGTCTTGGATGGAGCTCTAAGGTAAGATTTAAAACAAAAACCCCAAACCAAAATACTGAAAAGCCTTCTCAGTGTATAAGCATGGAAAACGTTAAAACTTCTGAAGAGGGTTCTCCAATTGTCCCTTAGCACCAGTGACAGAGAACTTAAAATGATCTATTTACTGTAACTTTCCCTCAGTGAATCAAAGAAAGTGCAAATCCTCTTAGAGATCCTCACAACAACCAGCTTTCATTGGTATTTGGCTGCCTTGTTTTGCAGCTTGGACAGTTTTCAGTTGTCACACAATGTACATTGATAGAGTGAAGTATGCTTGTTGGTGAATTTAATGAGGTTCTGTATTTTCATGTTTAAAAAGCAGAGTAGAGGGTCATAAATGTCAAGCTGAAAGTGATGTGGGAATGTACCCTTGCCCACCTACCCACAGCATAAGCTGTGGCTGTGCAGCTCTTTCAGTTCCCCTCCCTACAGCCCATGCTCCTTTCTGGAAGTCTTGCTGCACAACCTTTCCAAGCCTAACTCAGTATCTAATATTCTGTCATTAGAGATAAAAAATGCTGCAGTGTAATCATAGCAGTGAGGTGAGGGAAATAATAGAATAACCTATGTCTTCAACTTAGGTCTGAAGGTTGGCAGTTCTGGCCTCTGCCTTTTGTAATTTTGAAAGTTTAGCTATCGCAGGAGCACAGCTCTGGTTTAACCTGAGCTAAACAAATAGCTTTTACAGGGAACGGGTGAGCAAACAAAGTTTAAATTTTGTAGGGAGCACAACTGGCTGCACCCAGAAGCCCAGCATAGCCACAAAGAACCCAATGGGTTTTTGCTCAGCTTATGCCCATGCTGTTCCCTGTGTTGATATGCTGCAAAAGAAGGTAAGTCACAAGTGACAGGTCAGCACGAGGCTCAGATGGTCTCTGAGGAACTGCAGTCCAAAAAGGCAGGTGAACTCACTGTCCTTTGAAAGCCAGACGTTTGTTAAGCAGCTGCTTCACGATAGAGATGAAGTAAGAAGGAGCTCAGGCTTTCTAGGGAGGGCAAAGAGACTTCTGAGGGAGTAATTTTACCCCCAGGTATTTCTAGTTCTCCTGTAGCACATGCTCAGTTTCCTAACAAACTAGTGGCATCTGTGTTCTGAAAATACCACCTTTTTGCTTGCAAACTTGCCAAAGTGGAAGGGCTAAGAGCTTCCTGTGGTAGCTTTAGAAGCACCCTTTTCCACAACCATCACATGCAGTTCTGTCTGTCATTCAAGGAAAAAAAAATACCCACATAATTAAGATCATTTAGTATTTGATTTAAGGAGAATTCAGCTACCTTTAATCTTCTTTCATATTTCATATTCAATTCCACTGCTTTCTTAAGAATTTTAACCCTGTTTCTGCTGCCACTGGCCAACTGTACACTGTTTTAAGTCAGTTTCAATTTAGAAGCAAAAGCTACCTTCTGGAAGAGAGCTCTTCCATAATAGGAGCAGCAAGCCCCTGCCTAGCAGATGTAGCTCAGGAAGGGAGGAGGCTTAAACGATCTTTCTCCTGTGAGCCACATACTTGTAACAAGGATAAAACATCTCCTTGCTACTGTGCTGATGGTGGGTAGTTCACTCTCCAGCAGCACCAGCAAATGAGGCTGCTTCAGTAGGTGCAGAGAATCTCACAGCACACCTCTGGCTGAAAACCTTTGCCCTTTTGCCATGTGAAGGGCGTGCTCTGCTCACTGCTGTTGGTTACCTTGCCCCTCTCAGTGCTGATCCCCAGCAGGCAGGGTCTGGCAGCTTGCAGTAAGAAAGCCATATCTACTTAGTGCACATCATAGCACAAAAGTAATTCAAAAGGTGATAAGGGTGAATCCTTTGCCAATCCTATGCTTTTTTAGAAGTAGCTGAAGCTGGGGTCTTCCTTCTCTTTTACTCCTATGTACATACTTGAGATGAGCTGAACACGATAGTGGCAGGCTGGAATATGTGCTCAGCAGTAGTGAACTCAAATTTAAATGTGAGAAGTGCTTCAATGCTGTAAACATTCAAGGCAGCGATATAAATGGCATTTACTTCATATTTGGGCCTGAGAATGAATAAGCAGAATACACAAGAATATTTTTCTTACATTTTTACATTTCAGAATAAAATCTTCAACCCATAGACCCTTGTACTTCAGGAGAAGAGAATTTCAGTGTTAGTTTTTCTTTGAACTCACTAGATTTTGATTTGAAATGTAGAAAAACTGCAACAAATTACATTCTTACATTCTTCCAGTTTGTCTGGAAGTAACACTTCAGCTTGTTCACAAGCCTGCTGAACAGTGCTTACACCGATACTACAGCAGCAAAAACCACAGCTAATTTTCTGTCACAATCAACTGCCAAATTGGTGACTGTGTTCTTGGCTATAACTTAGGATGCAATTCTATTTTATGCATATCTGCAGGAAGCTATTCACCTGTAGGCCAGTTCAAAAATCGTCCTTAAGCAGCTATGTCTGGGTCTGTCTCCTCACTGAAGCTGCGATACCCTAAGAGGAGAAGTGCTATTAAAATCCAAGAAAAAAGGACCCTCTTGTTGAGGCAGGAATGTGGTGGGGATAATGTTGTAGACTCCAGCAAGGATGTTCTCCACTTCCAGGTAGCAAAATCCACACCTACAATACAAGAGCGATTTTCTTACAACCAAGGTATGAAGTGTTTCAAGCAGTGAAGATTTCATTAATCAACTACTTATTACCTGTAGTCCCCGCTGCTCTTCTTCTGAAAGCCATAGGAACCAGGATCTCCTACTGTTGACACAGTGACAATTTCAAACCCAACACTGTACTGCCTGCAACCAAGTGACAGACCATTACTTCAATGATTTGGGGAATCAGGGCTAGCAGGAGGAGAGTAAGTTTTTGAAGACTGTATAGCTGGAATACATTTAAGTTTTGCAACACTGGTGACAGAAATATGAGTGAAGCTTACCGTGACATGAATGTACAACTTGGAGGAAGATGCATTTTTGATTTCAGAACTCTATCTGAAAAAATCTGTTAGCTTTTTGCCTCTACACCAAAGCAGAGCCCATGTGGTTACACTTGCAGTGACATGCGTACAGGTTTTGGGCTGCAATCTGATCACCATCACAGGAACGTGAACGTTGGTGATCTCAGCACAATTCTCATGTTTCACTGCAACCTGGGACAATTTGTCTACTACGTCTTCATAAATGTGACAGGCACTGCTGGCCCTGTCGGTCAAACTAGTCAAGTATGATCTACAAATGCAGAAAATGCAAGCAGGAAAAGAAATGCTTAATGAGTGGAGTGGGAGAGCCACACCTTCAAGGAAACTCGCTCACGTGCATTTCATGAGAGAGCTTCCTCAAAGGGAAGGTGGACAGAAACATACCACTATTCTGTGGTGTCACTGTGCAGCTTTGTGAAAAAATTGATCACATGATGACTGCATGGCAGGAGCTGCTGCTATTTAGAAGCACTGTACACTGGTATCTTGAGGCAGATAAATCTTGCTGAAGGAATCTGACCTCCGTAACTTTAGTATAGGACTACCAGAAGTGAGAAAGTGCTTCCCCTTCCCCTTTATTAGCTATCATTAGGCATACTGACAAGTATTGCAAAGGGGTTGAGAGGATCATACCACTTGAACCACATTCTAAGTAAGACCTATTTTATATTCTACTTTCTTGAATATCCCCTCCAAAACCTGGCCCTCCTGAACCCTCTTCCAGAGCTGAGATGCAGTAATTTAATAAAGGTCCACTCTACCACAGTAACAGTTGAGAGCCTGTATTACTTGCAACTCTGGGAAGAAGCTTTCACTATGAAAGACTCTTCACAGGGCACTGACATCCAGTTCTTCCTCCTGATCTGCCAGTCACAGAGTAGATGCACTGACAGAGCTGAAGCTACCGCACAGGCTGTTATTTAAGAACCTGTGTTTAGCATTTATGCCAAGGTAAGAAACGAACAGTGCTGTACCTGCTTAATAAAAAGCTTAACATAGCTGTTTCCCATATATTATCTCTGGCTTTTCCAGGATCTTCTCATCCAACCCTTGGAGGACTCTGATAATTTGTCCTTAGTGCACGATACTTTCACTGAGTTGAGAAGCATGTATGACAAACCTTGGTCCACGCAGCTCAATTAGTAATGGCCCACTCTTGTCCAGCTGGAATTGATAGATAGGGTTATTTTTGTAGCTGTCTCTGAAGTTTCCACATCCTCCAGCACTGTGACCTTTCCACTGTCCATTAACCTAAAAAGTCAAAAGTACAGAAAATGTTTTATATCCTGAGAATTTGTGTATAGATAAGTGATGCAAGACTTGAAGTGCCTCTCACTTCATTTGTCCCTGACTACAGCAATCTTGGAATCTTTAAAGAGGAAGTGAAAGCCAGAATTTGATCAGATTCAGAAAGTTTAACTACCTGACTCAAAGCCTTAGATCTCTCATAAGGTAATATTATTCAGCTCTAAAGACCAGGTTTTGTAGCCTTTGCTTTTGAAAATCTCTCCCTCCAGCGCTGCCCATTCGCCACCATGCACTCTGAGAAGCAGTGCTACTGAGACCAAGATGTCCATAAGGACAGACTCCAAAGGGACAAAGAAATATAAGAGACAGAACATTGCTCAGATTTTAAGAAACGGGCCATCTGTTTGCAGGTTCCTCCTGCTGGTCATTAAATGAAAGTTCTAAGACATGCCAGGCATTCGCACAGTTATAGCTGAGCTGCGGTCCCTGTATGTTACTTCCCTCCCCTCTCTGTCAAACCATCAGAGATCAACAATTTTTCCTCTGATTTAGTTTCTCTACTCAGTGTCCAAAACCCTCGAAGGTGACACATCAGGAAGGCAAGGGGAATTTCTTCCTCCACCACACAACCTGAGGCTGCTGTGAATTTCCAGGCCTTTTCTACCTCAGTTGTGGAATCCCACCCCAGCCGTGCTAGCACAACAGATGACCACCCAGCTTTGGTACAAGGCACCTCAATGGTGCTTTCTTTGACTGGAAAATTGTTATCTGCTTTGTCGTTATCTGCTTGTCTTTAAATGCAATGACTGCAATACAGTTACCAAATAAGCATTAAACAGGCAACTAGCCTTCTGTATTTAATCAATTAGACAGAGCCAGTCACGGCCAGATAAAACATGCCTTTCATTTGAATGGCAGACAGGTATCTCCAGATAGTTAACAGGAGGCTTCCATGTACTTAAATCTCTTTTGAAACTAACACAGCATAAAACAGATGACATGTCTTATGCAGGCACATCATCTTTGGTGCATTTTTCTCATCTTAAACCATTCTTCCAAAGTAAGCTCAGTTTTTTAGAGCTACAAGTGACAGTGGTTTCTTAAGCAACTGACAATTGGTCACATTGCTCCAGGAATCTTCTAGCTACCTACTGTGCTCCTGAGCTGGTGAGATTCAAGGACAATAATAACAGCAGCATGTGGCCTCCAGACCACCTGGGCTTCTCACTTATTCTAGCCAAGTATTTGCTCTTGCCACCACTACTGATCTACTCTCAGGGAGCATTTCTATATGAAATACACCATCTGTATGTATGCTGTCTCATTCCTATTTGACAGTGTGAGTGCTTATCCTAGTGATTACAGACCTCTGAGATAGCAAAATATAAGGCCTGAAAGGTCTTGTGACAAATGGACTTGCATAGAATGGTCACATCTCAGCAGTGCTGCCTTTGCTTCGCCTCTGCTGCTTATGCCCTATTGTGCCAGGAAGTTTGGAAGAAAATTGCTCACTTTCTTTTGATAAAATGCACAACCCTCTGCACACTCATTACATATTAGGGCACGGGTTGTTACTCCAAAGGTCAGTCTGTTCTACAAAGGATTGATTTTGTATCTGCACCAGTACAGCTCTAACACTCTCTGATGAAGATAAAGCTTATATACTGGATAGGAGTCTCTTGCTGATAAAATTTAAGCTGCTTTCCTTCCTAGTATAAAGAGTCAGCCAGCTACCAAAGGCTTTTTTGTTGTTATGAACAACACTTAAAGCAGCTAATTGTTTGGCAAGTTATATGAAACCTAAGTACAGAGTTGGTCTTGCACCAGGTACGCTTACATTAAGCTCTAGTTGATGTTCTTAATTAAGAAGTTTGGTTTTTGAGAACACAGCCTAAGCTGGCATTTCTGGACGTTAGTGGAAAATTATATTTAGGAACCCTGTACATCTCAAACATGGAAAACCTAACCCAGAATCATTACTTAGTAACTGAAAAAAAATTCCTTACCCGTTTGGAAGTGGTGTAAGGTGTAGGAATCTTGGAAAAGGTAAACTTGCACAAGGAATACACCTGTGTGGTAAAAGCAGGAGGTGGTCACCCGTCAGGCATTTCTCATGACATTAAAAGAAAAAAAACCAGAACTGCCTACGAAGATTTTTTAGATACTTGCTCTATTTAGAAACAACCACAAAGGAAATGCAGCGTTAGTACTTGGGCTCCAGTGACCTCTTCCTATCTTACCTATCTCTTATCAGAAGGCATTTCAGAGGAAAAGGAGAGGTCGTGGCTGATGGCAAAAGGAGTTCCCCACCACCACTGTATTGTATTGGCACCCTATATTGCCTCAGCTACAATGGAGAACATTACCAAACACATCATCCAGTGATTCCACTCCAACATTCGTAGCCCCCCTCCTCCAAGTAACAACATGGACCCAGAAGTGCACTCACTCATTTACAAACAGAGGACACTTTACAGTATAATTATTCACATTTATTATGAAACCAGCAGTACGTACCCTGATGGTGTAATGGATGGTGTTTTGTTTCTCATACTGAGACACCACTAACGTAAATGTATGGGTCCCTGGAGAGGTCAGCTTTATCTTGGTCAGATAATGAGGACTGTTGATCCGAATGCCATCAATATATGGAAGAGGATCAGCTGAAAAAGAAAAGAATGAGCACTTCTCCCAGTCAAAGAAACCCCTCAGCCATTTATAATCAATGAATTCTGCTCAGAAAGTCAGACTGTTGGTACTGTGTTTAGACTACAAGCAGACTTGAGTGCTTTCAGAAGAAAGGAGCTTCAGGATTTGCTCACAGAAAGCAAGGACACATAAGAGCAACTGTCATTTTCTGAAGATGTACATCACACATGACAGGACAAATTCTGCACTTGAAAGTACAGCTTCAATGACTTGAGAGAACTACTTGTCCAGCTGTCACCAACGTCTCTGTTCAAAGGAGTTCTACTGTGATTATGTTGAAATGTAAAGAAAAAGATAAGGAATCTTTGAGCACACTACAAAAACCTATGAGGAGTCTGCTAGAGAAGCTCCCTTCTCTGTTGACAGGGCAGCTGCAGTTGGTAGACAAGACTTTGCAATATGTTCATGCCTTTGAGAAACAAAACCACATCTCCATTCTCCTAGGATCACCACACAATACAAACAGTATTTATTGTAAGCATCCCAAACATTTTTCTTTCACAATTACACAGTGCAATTTGTTATCTGGGCTCTAATTGGTTATTTCCAGAATTCTTTCAATTTTAGTCAAGCAGAGACAAGTCTAGCCAATTACTTGAATAGACCCAGGATCAGTTCCTTTGTTTTCTTCCACAAAGCAACATTGGGAGAAGGATTAAAATAAAACAACAAGAAGCTTAGAAATGGGGAATCCCTGTCTCGGTGCCAAAGGATTAACCTGTTTAGTTCTGATCTCATTTTAACAGATGGTAAAAATAATACTGCAGCTTGACAAATCTATTTCCATGGAAAAAGGTTTAAATGAGTTTGAGCTCGTGAGCTTAGAAGTTTATGAAAGAGTTCGGTTATCAAGAAAAAACAGACAAGTCATCCAGCTCTCCTTAATGGTCCTGCTGGAAAACTGTTTTTCAAGCACAGCAGAATAGTTCCCTCCAGTGTACAGAAGTGCATTGGTTGCTGACCTGAATGTTTTCAGTCTAACACACATAAAATAAGCAGTGTTACAACTAACAGCATCACAAGCATGTCTTGGGCAGTAAGGACAAGCAAATTCTTTAACAAGATCAGCTCGTGCAAAACCTGATGTTTTGGGAAGGTCTCAGTGGACATTTTCTACAGAAAGCTGGCTTGGATTCTAGGCAAACTGGTTGGCAGAGTACACAGAACAAGACAGAGATGAACCCCACAGCCATTATCAGCTATTCCAGTAGAAAAACAAACAAACCAACCCAAGTTCCACTCTTTGTTCAGAAGAACTTTAACAGCTCCTATTACCTGTTACATGAGCATCAGCTTTACTTCTGTGTCTCAGATCTACTGTCTTTCTTGGAATAAAACATACATGGCCTTTTTGCAGCTGCAATAAAGCTCCAAAAATCAAGTAGGGTTAAGAATCTGAAGCGCATACAGCTTGGTTTATTCCTTCCATCAGTCTGTCAAGGTGGTCAAAGGGCTGAATGACTACATCAGAAGACTGACCTCACAGAATGAGCTTTGCAGCATGAAAACAAACTGCCTCTCTTTCCCAGAGAACTCTCTGCAAGTGTTCATTTGTTCTTAAGCATCATCTTTTCTGACAGCTGAGGTATACTAACCTGGATAGTAAACTTTTTTGCCATCAGTCTTGTATACGACCATAGTAATAAATTCCCTATTATGTGCAAAGTCATCCTATAAAAAAAAAAACACAAATGGAGTTACAAGCTTCTGTGGAACGTAACCAACATTAAATGTAAATCAAACACACGTTCTCCCATCCCTTTGATGACCACACGCTATGGTCCAATATTTGCGTTCATCTTTTCAAAATGTCTGAATTAAACCAGCTACCACTAATTAACTGAAAGAAGTTCAGGCCCTTGGGAGTCAGAATTCCTTTGGTACTCCAATGGTGGAATGTAATCACCTCGCTCAATTTTTACGCTGAGTCTATCTCAACCATCTTGAAAGCAGGTATCCGTACAGCTGAATTTAAAGTTTATACATACAGCCATACCTGGAACATGTAAATGTGAGCAGTAATATCACAGCAGGTACTACAGAGCTCAGAATGTGGAAAGCAGAACTCCCACCTTATCCGTGATGTGTCTGCTCAGCAGCACCCAGACCACAGCTCCACCCTGTGGGCACTGCACCTCCAGCTTGTACTGCGGGTTGTTGGCCAGGCTGTAAGCATCCTTCACTGGGCCTTGCTTTGCATCCCAAGTACTAGGAGCAATGCAGACATTGCATCAGATCAGTTTTGAAAACAAAGAGATTTATACTTCTCTAACTGCACGATGCTTCTTATGAGCTTTTATGTCCAAAAGCTTGCTTTTTCTTTTTCCCCCTCCCCTATAGATTTCTATATTCAGGTAAATTTCTGAATAACAATCTGCTTAATGTTTGGAAAGGTGCCTGGTACCTCGAGGTACCCTATTACAAAACCTGCCTCAGGAACTGTCTAGGCAAGGAAAACGGGGGGAAAAAAGTGCTGATGACAACACTGAGTGTGACACACTGGGAACAGAAATGGATGAAGCTATTTGTGTCATCGACCCTTCTCACCCCTTTGAACCAAACAGCGTTTGTGAATGGCTGCATTATTAACTAAGCTTCAATTTATCTCTGTTGTTATGCCACTATTTATGGCAGATGTCACTGTGCTAGGCACTGCCCTATGCAGAGGTATGACAATCATTAATAATACAAGGAAACATAGAGTAGAAGAGGACTGAGTGTGAATATTCATCTCATCTTGCTCCAAGACAGCACTTCTTGGAATTAGTCTGAACACAAAGGTGGAAGGAGCCTTTACAGAGGAGTTGAGAAGTTGTGCTATTGATGATGGAGCTCATGCAGAGCTAACGCATACAGAAGGCATGGGGAAGCAGGGGTGAAGCGTGGTATACTGCAGCAGAGAAACAAATAAACCCTCATTTCCAGAAACAGAGGCACTTGTCTTCTAACTGGGTTAGAAAAAGACTGAATGAAACAAATACCAGAGGGAGAACAAGTATCATGTTCAAATAAATTGATGGCTAAAGAAGGCAACATAAAACTACAACTGGTGAGAAATGGACTTTGACTCCTACGACATGAGCAAATATACCTTGTAAAGACAACATGCACTGCACAGATGGCTTGGAACTGCCCAGTAAAATGAATTCCAAATAAAAGTTAGGTCACTGAAGCACTGCCTAGTGACTAAGTAAACTGACACGGACTGTGCACAAATCTAATTTCTGTTCTAATATAGAGATGTGGTACTGAGGTCAGCATCCACTTACACAACCTTAGGCCTACAGCATCGTCACAAAGATCACAGGAGTTTCAACAGTGTTATGGAAAACCTCAAAACAGAAGCCTGAGCTCAGAATTTAGAATAGTACAGCTGGACTCCAACCATGCTCTTGAGCCCAACCTCTTGAGCAGTGAGAAAAAAAATGGAAGAAAGGAAACACCTCATCAAGACATTTAGCATTATATTGACACAAAAGTTTTTCTCTTGGACCAACCTGTGAATACATGTAGATTCTTTAAAAAGACCAGGGTTCCAACTCAAATAAATAACATCGTAGTACTGGCACAAGTCCTCCCAGGCAATCCAGAAAATCCCTAAAAAGAAATTGCTGTTATTGTTTGCTTACCAGAAATGTTGAATTTACTCATTTTTCAGAAGTCTCTTTTCAGGCAAAAAGTACAGCTGATGTAAACCCCACATTTCTATGAAACAGAGTAGTAACATCTGCACTGCCTGCATTCCTAAAGTTAAACTTAACTCACAAAGCAAACAAGTTAAACCAAGATAGACAAGTTAGTTAGAATCTCTGCTTATCTTTAACACTGGGTTCTTTCTGAAGCTGACAAGACATTTTCATTCTCAAGCATTAATCAGAGGGCATGAGAGAACCTCTGTGCTATCCAGTAAGGACATCACTAATTGATACTGAGCTGCCTTATTCTTTCCTAAGTTTCTGGAAAAAAAAAAAGACAGGTTATCCCAGTTCAACAAACCAGGTTAGCAACACAGTGAACTATTCAATTAATGTGAGTATCCTGAATTGTATTTCTAAGGTACTTCTTTATGGGACTTGCTTTAGCACCCCGCATCTGCTTCATCTTTACAATTCTTGTGTAATTTTAACACTCTACAGCTCATTTAATTGCAACTCCAACCAGCACCATCACCTACATACTGACAGATTCCTGATGAAATGAACTCTCAAATAGGTCTTTGATACTGGCACTCACAGGTCTTGCAGCACTAGAAAGATACATAGTCAGAACAGCTACATATTTAGACTTCAGATTTTTAGAAAATCAGCAGGAAAATCCAGTCAGAAAAATAACTTCCTTAAAACTGTTAATGTAACTTCATATAAATTTTAACTATTAGTCTCTACAGATGCACCAATTCCTTACTGAATGGATCTGTAATGAGCTAATCTCTCCTAACTACCAAAAGCCAGGACTGCTATTCTTACACACTGCATGAAGTTCATAATGAAATGCTAAACTCCAATGGACTTGGAAGCATACTGTTGTCAAAATGAAGTGGCATTAAACAAAAGGGTTTCCTCAGTTACTCCACCTGTTCCTTGTGCTTAAGTGTTTCTTTCCACCTTTCTGCAGGGATAAACTACCAAGGTCTGCATTATTTGAACATGCAGTGACTTTTTATGCCTTATTACCATTGTCTATTTTCTGAGCTGTTCTTGGATCAAAGTTCAAGTATTTTTGTAGATCTGGGGTCCAACTTCTTGTGTCATTTTCACTGTATCGTCCCTTCCAACGTAAGTGGCTCCATGGATTTTTCAGCTGGAGGAATCTAAGCCCCTGAGGAAATACAAAATGAAACTGCTGGATTCACCTTATCAAGGTTATGTTTTCATTTATCTGAACGTGGAATAGGGACCAGCATCTTAAGGAAATAGCATCATTGAGCTTTATTGGGAAATCCTGGAAAGCTTAAGACAAAATAAACTAAAAATCAGTAGCAGTCCATCTTGGACAAAGGTTTCAAGCTGGTATCTGAAAAAATCATTCAGTTTTACTTGGTACCTTATGTTCTCTTATATCCAAGACTGCATAGGCATGGGTTGGAACTAAACCCCATTTTTCTCCTTCCTCTTCAGACATCACACCTGTTGCTGTTGTGATAAGGACATCTCCTTTATGAAACCTATTAAAAAAAAAAAAAGAAAGAACATTTTAATTAAGCTATTTTTAACAGCTGCAAGCTTAACATTTGACAGATATTGTAATGGCATGTTTGCACACTGTTAGTATGATCCTACTTTATAGGAATACAGGTTGTTTATTGTAAGCAGAAATCACACTTGAAGATGCTTCAGAAAACAGCACTTTTCTTCCAATATTTAAGTACAGGCTGCATGTGAAATAAATAGCTATTATAATGATAACATAAAAATAAGCATTTTTTTCTAAAATTGAGATTTTCTAAATCATTCTAAAACTCAATCTGTGTCATTTATTAAAAATACTCACAGATCTTCACCTGAACACAGAAATGGCTTCATCAACACTTACTCAAATCTCTGCTTACAGTGAGTAAACTCTATTGACCCCAGGGTTTTGATGGGGCTTCACAAACTTGGAAAGTAAATCAATAAATCAATAATCATAGATTCCTGCACGTGCCCACATTCCAGCTTTGTGTCACTCACTGTCATTCCTACAGGGTTTGAACTGTCAAACGGCAGCTGAGTTCTGCAATTATTCTGAATTGCAGTTGTTCACAGTGATCACTGTTACGAAGATCTGCTACTGTTTCCTACAACATGATACAATCCAAGTATGCTCTCAAGGTACTGTATAACCCTGCACAGTTCACAGTCAATGGACTACAGATTGTCAGCGTAGCACAGATTAACAACAGTGAAGCTATGATGACTAGATCTCACTAATTGCAGCCACACCTACAAACTGCAATGTCAGAACATCTATCTGAAAAGCTGACCATCAAGTGCGAGTTCCTAAACTACTGAAAAAGCACTATGGAAATAATTCCACTCTCCCATAATGAATGGGGCTCTTTCAGTCAACAATATCCCCCTTCTACTGCCTTGAGATACAAGAGGAACTGGTTGCACAGAACAGTTGAGAAATAAATTTAAGTACTTGCTAGCTGACATTTACTTTACAATGAATCTTTCACCCTAAGTAGAATTGTGTTACAACAGGTGTGAAGATGAGGATCACAGTTTCAATACAGGTTTTCTGCCACTCCTCCAGATTTACAACTGGAGCATAATAATCAAGATTTTGTGATATGATTAAGAATACCATATTGATCTGCTTGCTAGGGAGAGCAAGTCAAGTTCCGGGGGATACTCCTCCTATATTTCCTTCTGCTTTTTTAAAGACTTCAGTTGTACAATGGTTCTCATCTGCACTTCTCTGACTCTACAGTTTATTTTCTTCATCAAGAAATTGGCTGGTTTTTTTTCTTCCCTATCAAATAGGAAGGAAAAATATTCCATAGTATCTTACTTTCCTATTAAAGTCACCAATACGTCACTTTTTCTTCTTCCAGAAAGCATGTGGAAGTTATACAAACCACAACTTGTAGTACCAAGATTCTGCTGAGGGATCTGTGATGACTTTAAGTTGGTAATCCAACTACTGCAGAGCAAGCATTTTAATTAGTTAAGAAAGAACAAACTTCTACCTCTGATAGAGCATTCTGAAAGTGCTATCTCTATCAAAAGCCTGATTGTCAGAGTGCATAGCAATTCTTTCAGGTATCCAACCAGTCAGCGCATGGAGATCGATGTTCTGAAATACAAGCGTTCAGAGAAAACAACAGGTAACCATCAAAGCACCTTGAAAGAAACCAAAGACACTTATTACAATAATAGCTCTACATATGAAGACTCAAGAGTGAGACAGTATGAAATCTGATAAAACTGAGCTGATGAAGAACTGAAACTTGAGTTATGAAAGCATTAAAGAGTTCCATCAGTTTTATGATGCCTTCTATTTATTTCTTTGATTCACAGAATTTTAAATTACAGCCTCAGAAGAACTACTTGCAATCTTGCTATTATATATGCATTTTAAATTATTTATGTTTTACTTCTAAGGCTCAGGGTTTCAGAGGTTTTTAATATGTACATATATTTTTTGTAAGGCTGACACTGTCATGATTTTCAGTAAAAAAAGCCTTTAATCTCCTTATTTTATCTCCTTGAAACATTGCTTCCTCTCCTCCTGCTTTGAGCTCCTCAAAGGAAAAGCAAAGACTGTAAAGGCTTGAAGAGCCCATGAACAGCGCTGGTGGGTGGGAAGTTTGCAAACTGCAAAGGTAACAGACAATAGGTAACCCTGATTAGACAACGAAGCTGTGATGTGGTGGAGAACAGGGTGAAGATTAGATGTCAAATGTCAAGACAGCAAGTCAGCAAGTTAGAGGAGGACAATGCAAGTCAAACAGCTATATTCTGTTTCTTCAATACTGTTCCGCAGAACAAAGCACCTGACATAAACATACCTAAAAATGTATGCTACATTCTGCCCTTGTGCAAGGCCACATTTGCCTCAATAATCACATTTCTGAAGGTGATAACTTCCTATCACATCCACAAAGAACAAAATTATCAAGACATTAACTAGAATGGAATAAAGACACGCTTAAATTTAGTAAGTCTGAATGAAAAATCAGAAATCCTTTCTAGGTAATGAATAAAGATTATTTAGGCTGGAATAGTCCAGACTCTCTGAAAGAATAGTTTCCCCATCAACAACTTGGCTGCAGCATTATGACAGCCTATTAAGTAACCACACTATAGGCACCTGATACATATTCATATAAATGAGTGGAACAATCAGATAAGTTTTCTTATATCAAAGTACTTGTTCCCTCCATAAACATGGAGTATTTCAGCCTGCTCCTTTCTTAGCTGGCTGCTCAACTTAACAAGGGAGAATCATGCTGTCTATAGAATGACAGTTAGAAACAAAAAATCTGCATTACTGGTACAGGTAGAAGCAAAAAAAATGTATGAGTTTGCTCCAAACTTTCATCTAGGGTGAATATAAAGCATAACTTTCTAACCCTAAGTCTCAGTCCTACAGTTAGTACAACAAGTTTAACTCTGCCCTTCAAGTCTGACATACTTGAGCACAGTTAAGCACGTCTGTGATAGGAAGAAAAATTAGAACAAAACAGAAGAAATCCAACGCTTACCTCCCAAGCATTCCATTCTGATTTCACTACAAGAAATGAGGAAACTTGACAGAGATTATCTATTCTTTTTCTTATTAGAAATTATCTAGTACTTACAGAATTTGATCCAGGAAAATCATATCCTCCCATGACCTTCATGTAAGCTTTTTCTATTAGCGATACCCACAGTTCATTCTTATTGTTAGAATAAGAGCAGAGAAGTTCCCCATTATGATCAACAGGTAACTGGTCATCTATGATCACCTGTGCAAAATAAATAAGAAGTTATCTTACAGCTAATGAAGTACCCTGCAAGTATTTAAAAAAAAATAACAGAACTTAACTCTTAGGAATACATAGGCACATACTTAGGCTTCCAAGGCACAGATCTGACCACTTTTTCAGATGAGGACACCTGTACCAATCAGAGGCTTGCCCTATAGTGAACAACTTGTTCTGTTGCTAGCTGTCTCATACACCATCACTGGGTGACCAGCATCTGCCTTGGTTTGCTCTTTAGGAAGTGGAGGTTAAGACAACTTGCTCATCAAGTATTTAACACCAGCTGCAAAGCTCAGTGTGACTGTCAATATTAGGAAAAGTAGAGAAAGGCCTAACAACATCCCTCTCCTAACTAGGAGAAAGAACATAGATTGTGCTCAGTGTGCAGTGGAGGAAATGCAGTCATTAATCTATAAAGAACCAAAATGCATGTCACATCACTTCCATAGTCCCCAGTTCCTAATTTATCTTTCTTTTCTCTAGAAAGGAAGAAGTATTAAAGTAGCAGTCAAAAACATGTATATTTCTTGTTTAAATTATGTGGACTATCCTTCCCATTAGTGTAGATTATTACTGCAGTATTCATCGTGGTCTGAAACAATTTCCCAGCACAGATATTTCACACTGCCATCAGTCTATTACCAATACACTACTGAGAAAGCACATTTTCATGTCAAATCCTATTTGTGCAAGAATGGATAATCCTTTTCGTAGAGCACAGCCACTCACCCTACCAAAAAGCAGCCATGGGGAGATATACTGGAGAGCATGGAGAGCAGGGGAAACACTTAGGTGATCCTTCCCTCTATCAGTCATTTAGATTCCAGGATTTTGCTACTAACAGGCCTCCTAAGCTAGAGGTTGTATCTTAGCATTTGATAATATTTGAGGACTTGCCCCAAGCCCCTCATCTATGAACACAACCATTGGATTTTTGAACTCCCACAGTGATCATTCAAAATGAACTGCAATAGAGACTGCTACGGTATTTTATTTTATACCACTATTTACTGCACAAAGAAAATGATGTTGGTGAGTTTATAAAGCTCTACCATTTATCTTCAGGCATCTCCTCTCTTCACAAAAAATCTTTGGTCGTCAGCTTTTAAAATAGACGATTTTAACAGTAAGAGTATTAAGTTCCCCCCCAAAAATTTACCTTTCTAGGTACACCGTTGATATGAAGTTTCACCATGTATTTGCCACATGGATTATACTCTGGTTCTCCTTTCTTATTCTGAGGGTAAATGATACTGTTAAAAAAAAAAACACATAAATTGTGACGTAAGTGACTCTGCTGTCAACAGAGTGATAACATAAAAAGTGGGATTTCTAGAATCTATGCTAAGAGATAAATATGGAATTTTACATGACAAAGCCACTCAAATTTAATAAAAGTGGCAATGATGTTTAAATAGATTTTATATTTCAGACCTTATTCCTGATGCAGTTCTCTCCTAATCGGAGTAAGAAAACCCGAGTTATACAGTAATTTCTCTAACTGAAACACAAGCAGATGTCTTACTTTTAAATGTATCAATAGCAATAAAATACAGTATTAGCCTGAATGACAGTCAAAGGTTTCAAGACTACAGTGATACAGAACTCTCTGCTCACAAAGGTTACATGTTCCCTTCTAGCAAGTATAGGTTAAAACAAAATTCTAGAAATAACATTCACACACTTGTCTGGCAACAGGCTCCTGGCAGACAGCCTGCCAAATGCATGCTAAATTTATCACTGAATGCTTGTTAAGTTGGATTGAGACAGTGTTGTTACCATTCTGCAGCAAGATTTAATAGCAACTATTTGTTGTACAGCAGTTGACATAACAAAGAAACAAACCTACAAGGCATTATAAGTAAAACTGCTATTAGAAACAAAGCCTTCCAGACTATTTGCTCTTCTCAAAGCACATTTAAAGTAGTTTCACTTTCAGAAGAGGTAAAGCCACAAGATTCCAAGAGAGATAAAGGTGAAACAAACACTAGCTTTTACTGTACCCAAATCTACGATAGAGAGCCTCAATTAAAACTGATGAAAGTAGAGCATACTAATCTAAATATTTTTTACCTATTACTCATGAATAAGCTTAACAGACAGCAATTTAAACAGAACATACTGCTTAGCTGTGTTAAACCTGATGATCTTAGAAAATAGCAGCTATTTACCTTGTAATCAACTTTTTGTTGTATCTTCTTTCATACGCAGCACTGATAGCCAGGGATGCCACAAAGGAACAGTCTGACACTATTGTCTGTAAAGAAAAGAAGACAATGAGGATATTTACTAATATTTAGATACTAAAGAAAAATGGCTTGGGTGGGAAAGAAGGGAACACTGTCAGTTAGTGATTCCCCTCCATAGTGAAAGGATTTAAATGGAAAGAAGCCAAGTTACTAAAAAAAAAAAAAAAAAAAAAAAAAAAAAAAAAAAAAGCAGGAAACATTGCTTGCTCTGTAAGTTAAAAGATTTATTGAAGGCAGTGAGAGGTAAATGCAGCTATCTTGTCATTCACTCACACTTAACCTCTTTCTTCCCAAAACACAGTGTTTCCACTGTTAATGGACTTGTTCATTCTCATGGCTAAAAAAACACATGGAATTTGAGGTGGTGCTGTCACTAAATTAACATCAAGAGAGCCATGAGAAGCTCTCTCACATTTAGGGGTTTCTTTTTGAAAAAGTAATCCTCTTCTTTTTTGGGAAGTCTCATAGCAGCTAATGTTCCTTTTTGGGACCAACTTACCTGCTTTATGCTGAAACTTGATACGGTGTAAATCATGGTAGGGTTATTTGTTATGTCATCTGGCCGTACCCACCTGGCAAACATTGCTTTCTGTTTGGGGGATAATGGCAACTTCCCACATTTATCACTAGATTTAGGAGAGAAAGGCAGAAATAACAGGTTAGATAGAAAAGCTTTTAACGGCATCCCAAGTCATGCATACATCTGACAGATGGTGCAAAATGTGCATTGAACAATTACACAGCTGGAAAAGAAATTCAGAGAACAAAGTTGACAATTTGGTGGGGAAAAATATTATAAACGTGAAATAAAACCCAAGAGTCTCCTTCATAGGACTGCACAGAAGAAAGGAATTCCAAAATGCCAACTACCCCAGCAGAAACCCAAATTCTTGTCTTTAATTCAACATGATGATCTAATAAAAGGCTTCTTCAGTTCAGAAAATATGGAGGTATACCTGATTGTCGTGCCTTTGGCAGAAAACTGAAGAAAAAACACCAACCAGATGACTTGCCCGTTATGGCTATGTAAGGTGAGCCTGTATCAGTGCTCACGCACAAACATCTAACAGCTTTCTGTCACTCTTTTTCTGAATAGCCCTTTGCAAGGAGACAGCTACCACCTTCATTTTGCAGGTGGGACAACTGAGACAGAGAGCACTAAAAACAGTAGGCTCCATTTCCTGACTCTGTTGCCAAGTTGCCAGCATAGCCCAATACTTCAAAAAACCCAATTGGAATTCTTCAAGGCTTGCAGGGACAACTGCAAAGGCACTGCAGAGCAGGATCAGCTTACGTTAAACAGTTCCAAGACCAGACTGGAGAAATGAGGTTGCAGTATCTAAGTACCTCAGCCAAAATTATGCTTAAAAATCTGCTTAAACAATTTCAAGAGAAAACACAACAATACTGATGATTGGAAAGAATTCAAAATAACAGCAAAGAAACATCAGTAATTGAACAGCACTTACGAAAATGGCATAGGGAAGGCAAAACGTTCTCTCAGATCAACACTCATGAAGGGGACATATTCAATGCCATTAATTTTTGAAGTCTTTCTGCAAGTTGCAAGAGAAAGACACAGTTACAAACTTATCTATCATCCTTCAGAGGTTGAGTCTGAAAAGTCTGCAGCTTTTCAAACTCACATTTCTATCTTCAGGACCATACCTTTAGTCCGTTTAAGTGCCTATAGTAAATAAACAGATTAAGTGGAAGAAGATCAAATCCTGGACAGCATTGAACATCACCTCTGTCACAATCTTATTTACTGTGGAGTGAGAAGGAAGAAGGTTGTAATCCTTATCAGACAATGCCTTTTTTTTTTTTGCATATACTTCATAGTTTTCAAAATTACAACCTTACCTGAAGGTTTTATGGATTTGTTAAAATACAAAAGGAACTGAATATAACAGAAGGCATAATCCTGAAGCATACCATGCTTCCTCTGTTTCCTGTGAAACAGAAGTTGTATCATACGTAAAACCTTTCCTATACCTGGGCACCTGTGAGTGAGATCTTTCAAGAACTCCATCAGGTACAAACATACAAAAATATGGCTGTGAAAAATACTCCTGGCAGCCAACTACCACTTGTCTTTAAACATGCTCTGTGAATAAAAACCACTGATTATATTACTGTAGAGAATACCAGTGTGGGTAATGGCAACAAACGTGTTTGTAAGTGGTGGTTTTCCAAGCCTCTGCTTATATACCTCAAGCTTAGGTGTATAACAATTTGCTGTCCAAGATGCACGAAGGATGTGTGCACAAATGATAAAACTTTGCAAAAACTTGGCCTCTGCTCACCTGAGTACTTCAATCTCCTCTGCAGTGTACCTCTGACCTTGAGACTCACTAGCTTGTACTGCTCTGATTGTCTGTGGTTTATCATTCAAAGAAAAATCAGGACCCAGTGGAAAGAATGTTCTGACGGGCTGGTTTGGTTTAGCAGCAGTTGACTTCTCCTTCTGAGATGACTTTGACATCGATACTTTCAGTGCTTCTGCTCTAAAGGAAAGAAAAATGCATTCTGTGTACAATCATAATGAAAATATGGCTATGGGTCAGTCATTTATTGCCTTGTTCATGCTTTCACATTTGTTAGAAGGGATGAACGATGCTAAAGCTGACCAATATCATTTTTCCTATGAAAAAATTCATAAACGATATCAATAGAAGATAAGCATCAGAAATCACTGAGTACTGATGCCACTATTTCTTTATTTTCCTGTTCTACAATCAATTAAAATATAGCATTTGCAATTCAATTCAAAGATATTGTCAGCAGAATTCATTAGGTTTTTGTCACCTTTAAGACTACAGTAATAGCAGCATTTACGTAAGCATCCATTATCTGAAACCTCAGAAAAAGACCACAAACCCAGAGAGAGAAAATCCCTTTTAGAGTGATTCAGTGACAGGACATAATTTCCTAACTGCTTCCCCCACGAGGCAGGATCTCAGTGGTAACTCATCAATGTTGGTTTAAGCATCACCTACCACCTTGCTTTCTCTTAGGCTTCAGGATTTGGCTAGCAATTATTACAGCAGGAAAAAACCAACTGCTCTTAAAATCCAGCATTTCAGCTGCTTAAAGGCTACATTCAGGAGCCATCTTTTTTTTTTTGTTGCTGCATTAAACTGTGAGATAGTCACACGTGCAAATCAGGGTGGGATTTTCTTAACGCAGACTGGAAATCTGCTAATACTAAAGCAGCCCAACACAGTTCATTATTCTCTGTCATACTGCTGACTCAAAAAGGACTTACATTGGACTTGCACTCATGCAACTTGTTTTAGATACAGATTCTCATCCACTGGATTTACCCACACGATTAAATTGCTGCCTCAAACCAAGTACTTCCCAGTTTTTAAGCTGTCTTCATAGTGAAGAGATGCTGACACCCAGGCTTAGCGCACTCTGATTTATCTCTCTGAATACTGAAACAGTGCATGATACTAACAAATACATAGTCCTTCCCTAATTCTGCATGACATTTCCAGAGGGTTGGCACAAGATCTACCTCATCTATCTGTGTAACAGCTGGCAGCTATCTACCAGGAAAACTCTAACTGAGTTAGGTCTGGTCAGAATCTCTATGCTTTGCAGTACAGAACAGACATAACAAGATTGAGAATTCAACTCAGAGAGTGCACTGACACTCAGCAGCTATTACCTGTACTAACAGTGGCAATACTCACCTATCTAATGCTTGCCGAGCCAGTTGTTTCAGTTTTGCCTGCAGGCCTGCTTCTGAAGTTTCTGTAGCCTTCAATTCAAAACACATAAACAACACAAAAGCTACACACCCGAAGAAAGTCCAGATGTTAAGCTGTTTAATTACAGTTCCCACCTATTTTTTTTCCCCCAATCCTCCCTTGAAATGAGCAGATATGTATGCGGTGGATTTTGTTTTTAAATCTCAATATAAAAAGGATACTAAATGAATATTATTTTAATATTTTAGTAAACATTCATAGAATGAAAGTATTATTCAGCTTTTTTCAGCATGGGAAATACTGAAATGCATACACACAAAAAAACACTTAGAAAACCATTAAAATTGTGGACAGAAAAAAAACAACAAATGTTATGTACACTATTGAAATAAAATGCATGCCAATTTTTTTTTCCACAAGTATGTAAAAAATAATCATGGTAACTTAGGAAAAGATACATTTGAATGTTCACTTTCATTGATGAAGCCTGCTTGCAAGTTAAAACTCTTGTTTTTCCACATGTGAAGCATAAAAAAGCACCAAAACCATTACCAGGAGTGCTAACTTCTATTTCCAGTTGGAAAGTACGTTGTGACAGCTCACTCATATAACTAGTTTATATTTCCTTCCTTACAGGTGAACAGGTAATCTGGAGGAAGCACAACATGAGCTGTGGCTTCTTTTGTCACAACCAATAGCAGGTTTCAGGTTTGAGCTTTGTACCTTGGCTGATTCTCCTGGGTCATCTACGTAAATGGAGGAAACAAAAGGCAAGCTACTTTCAGCCTAAGAAAGTAGAAATACCCTAACAATTTTTAGTAAGTTACACTTCGGAGTTCCTTGTTGGAAAAGACTTTCAAAGATGCATGAAGGGAAGCAGTGGATGTGATACACCAGAAGACCTATCTGATGAGACACTGAGGAATAGACACACCTGCTCTCTTACTGCTTCAAAGGTAAGAAAGAAGCTGATCTCCTCATCTAATATAGAAAGCAGAAAGTAAGGCAGAAGTAGTGATTCAAGACAGAGTTCATTCCATCTTTCATCCTGGGGAGAAGAATTTCTGATCCCCTTGAGGGATAAAGCCTACAGTCATTTTAACAAAACAATGTGTTGCCAATATTAAAAGAAACGTTAGCTGTATCTGCACCTAATAAAAGATCAGGTAACAGCAACTGTTAATGAGAAATGGAAATTACTCTGGAATTACATGTAAGCAGAAGGAGAAACAGCAGAGTCAAAAGCAGTGTGCTGATGCAGTGGTTTATGTAATAGACAAAAGCAGTTTTGATTAAACAGCTGAAGCAGAAAAACTAGAGCAGTTCTACTAGCTCTTGATCTGGTTACCTTGTATCACTAGGGTTTTTAAGTCTACCTAAAACAGTTTAGAAGAATTCCGAGCAAAGGTTTTACTTTAGTATGTAGCAATAGTAATATTTCCCTCCCAACAACCCATACATATATTCACACTACAAAAAGGAAAGAGGAGAAAAAAGAAAAACAGACTTGGTGGAGTTACATTATGATGGTGAACTCTTCCTATAATGAGTTAGTTATGACAACTGGACTTCAGAGAAAAAAGCAGTACCTGTAATTATGTTTGTCATCATTCACATAAGGGCCAATTTTACTCTACCATTAACTGCAGTGTGAATTGGATTCACTCATATCTTTAATGTTAGCTACCAAGTAATCAAACAGTATTTTTTACCGGTTTTGGCAGCAGCAGACTGTTATGCTTTCAGAAAATGCTACACAAAAAACTGCCAACAATTATTTCCTTTAATATAGTCAGAAAATAAAATAGCTGACACATTAGAAAGCCATCTTCAATTCTAACAGTTTTTGATTTCTCTTTTAATATTGCATTCATTCTAGTGTAAAAGTTAACAGGACAAAATATTCAGCATATTTGTATCTCTTAGTATAATCTGGCTCAGTGAAAACACACAAATGACCAGCCCCCATGAATTTACAGCATTAAATAATGTAACAACTGGAAGAAACATTACAGAAACAACTAATGGAAAAAATAACATTCAAGAACAGCTTTTAGAGATACAGGTACTCCATTTTTAAGCCAGCCTTTAGGAGTCAGTTGCTTGTGTAAGTGGAAGAATTCCTTACCATCACGTAATTCCACCAAGTTAACTTGTAGCTTAACATACTGTTTTCAAACAGAGCTCCACCGCTTCCGTGTACAACTCTATAGCTTCTTCTGCATTGCCTTTGTCATCTTCATCAAAAGCCTGTGTAACTAGGAAGTGAGCACGCTCCAAGTCCAGCTGCTGTTTTGACTTCAGAGGGTCTGTGTTCTGAGATTGAACTAAAAGAAAAATGAAAGCATTCAGCTTTCTACAGCAGCAGACATGCAAAAGCATCCTCCCCATAGCACTGAAACACTAGTAGTTCTATCAGATGAGAAACATCTACTCTATGGCTGCAAACAGAAAGTTGGCAAACTGCTGAAGACGTCTTTACAAGGAAAAAGAAACACTCTTCCCCCAAGGCTGAGACATGCTCTCAGGTTATGTCACATGTCAAGTAATGTACATAAGATCTCTTGCATATTATGCAGGTGTGGTTCCTAACAATATTTAAAGTGGAAGAATATGCACACCCAAGTCCTTAGGAAATAAGTCTTCTGCACTGCGCTACATTTCTGATTCACTAAGGAGTTCTAAACAGTGACAAAAAATAAGAAACATGAGAAGCAAAGCAAGCATCACAGATTCATACTTCACAGCACTGTTAGGCTTTCTACTGAATTTATGCAGAGGTTTGATTAGGAAGCTTCTCACCCACCTGCTGAATGGAGAGCTTGAACTCTCTCCAAATACTCATTTATTTTTTCTTGAATATTTTCCAAGTTTGACCCTGCCATGCCAGCATAAATCAAGGCTTGTGCGGCTTCCTGCAGGGACAGAAATTTGAAACAAAAGTTAATGGTTGGTGACTGGAAAATTACTTTCCATGAACAGAAAGCTACAGCAACGAGTCTGCACGAAAGCTGGCTCCTACACCCACATCAAGGTTCAGTGGTACAGGGAGAATCTGCCAGAGAGAAGAAGTCACAAATGAAATCCAATTTCCTAAGTTCAATTTCACACAGAACAACCTACAAAACTGCAGAACCTCAGAAGATTTATAATCACAGAATGGCCAGGGTTGGAAGGGACCTTGAGGATCATGAAGCTCCAACCCTCCCCACCACAGGCAGGGCCACCAACCTCCGCATTTTGTACTAGACAAGGCTGCCCATGGCCCCATCCAACCTGGCCTTGAACACCTCCAGGGTAGAGGCATAAGGCCGCATCTTAGGTCAGTGTGTGCAGTCACACACACAGCAACAGAAGTTTTAAATGGCCTTATTCAGTCATGCACTGAAATCAGCTAAGTAAAACTCTGGACAAACTGTCTTTTATTTTTAAAGGTACAAATTTGTGGTTGAGGAAGAAAATAAAAACCTTTTAAAAAAAATAATCAACACATCACTCACAAATTATTTGCACTCAATCTGATAATAATGAGAAGAAAACCAGCATAAAAAACCTTTAAAAAACAAATTCATAGAATTACGGAGTTTTGTATGAGTAACAGGGATAGAAAAAGTGATCAGATCTTGAAATTCTACAGCATTAAGATTTCCCAGCTCCTCAGATTTTTGTCTTTAAATGTTTCTATGTGCAGAAAACACTGGATATTGATCAAAGCCCATTTCCAGGAGGGAGTATAAGAAGGTCTCCAGCTCAGAAGCACAGTGTGTTACCCACATGAAGACTTTTTCTATAATGCACAAATCTATTAGGAAAAAAAATGCCCTCAGTTGCAATCAGCTGTCTATCCACTCACTCAATTTATTTAATAAAAAAAAAAAAGCCACATTAAGATTTGGCAGGATTGAAATCAACAGCCAGAGCTGACACAGTCTCAGAAGTATACGGAAAAAAAAAGAAATCGAGTTTTGTCACTCTTAAAAACAAAGATAAAAACCTTACACTGACCTCATTGGCACGGGGGAAAAGCCCGACAACCCACATTCGTGCAGCAATGCTCTCCTTCCCAGCAGCAGTGGGTGAGGGAAGGAGGCAGTCACGTAGCAGGCACGCATGTAGGAAGCAGAACAACAACTGTCAGTGCTGCTCCCCAGCGATGGTCTTCAGGAAGATGGCTCTGTGCAGAGCAAACACAGAGCTGGGGCCAGAGGGGCTCTCGCTTGCTTTGTGGCTATGATTTTGCCAAAGCTGTCAGTTTACTCCCACATGCACTCACCTTGTCTGCACAAGCTTAGAACCAATCCTAACGCAATCTTTATTTATCAGGGTAAATATTTTACTGCCGAGCATCACAGAAGCAAGCATGCATACAACCTGTCAACATCTATCGCCATATTCACAGGATCACAGAATGATTTGGGTTGACAGGGAACTCAAAGCCCACCCAGCCCCAAACCCCAGCCATGGGTAGGGCTGCCACCCACCAGATCAGGCTGCCCAGGGCCCCCATCCAGTCTGGCCTTGAATGTTTCCAGGGATGGGGCACCACAGCTTCTCTGGACAGCTGTGCCAGGGCCTCACTGCCCTCTGAGTGAAGAGTTTCTTCCTAGCATCTAACCTAAACCTCCCCTCTTTCAGTTTAAACCCACTGCCCCTTGTCCTACCACTATGAACCTGCACGAAGTCAGCTCCCTTCCTGCTTGTAAGCTCCTTTCAAGTATTACACCACATGAAATGCTCACAGCGACAGAAAGGCAAAGGTGGGTCAGATTTCATTTATATGTAGCAATTAAGTACCATTAAGGTCTAGCATACAACTAGCTTTGAGAAAAACACATTACAGACATCTGCTCCAGGAGCGCACACACATCCGTGGCACATCAGAAGTAGAGATGCTGTATTACAATGGTGAGCATGATGTAAAAAACAAACAAATCTTCGAACCAGTGCCTCCAAATCCATGCATAACTGGTATTTCCCTGATTAGGACCACAACTGTTCTACCTGGTTTCAAGGTACAAACAGACCCTTATGCAGTAAGCTGCAGCTATGCCAGCATGCCAGCTGTCACAGGATGTAGGTGTGGTTCAGAGCTGGTATTTCTGATCCATCACAAATGAATAGATACAGCAAACCCATTCAGACATTCGGTTTGTTGTCTGTCAGCAACAAGAAGTGACATTTCCCTTGCTTCATGCTTAGGTCAGGTTCTCACAGAATACAATTTGTCACCCATGTGCTTACTAAACACTCAAATAGATAATAAGAAAGCTGGTAAACAAGATACCTTCACACACAGCCTGACACAATAATCAATACCTGACCTTGTGTTGCGAGGAACCTCCTGTCTGAGCACCAAACCTGTATCTGCAGAGCTGTGACCTGAAGCTTTCCTGGTGCAGAGCAGTGCCTACACTCATGTTGCCCTGCGCCTTCACAGTGCAAAGCACAAGGCATTTTCTGCCTTACTCTCCCTGGTGCATTTAGCCTGAGGTGCGAGGGGTGCCTTTCTGCTATTAGAAGTATCACCTAAATGCCGCACAGGAAAAGAATTTTCTGTGTGCTGTATGGAAAAGCAGAAGAGTGATTATTTGCCCCCCCCCCAAAAAAAAATTTTCTCCTGAGGAGCAGCTGACAAGCTCTTGCAGATGTGTCAGAAATGTGCTGTCACAAAGCAGTGCGTGCACAGCCAACAGACACCATGCACATGCTGCAGAGAGGCACAGAGCTTATCAACATCATTACCAATGATTATAACTTTTGTACATACCCACATTTCCCATAGCAAACTTAGCTCTAAGCTACCAGTGTAGGCTAAATGCAGGCATTCCTCTACCTATGTAGGAATCTCTCCCAAAGGAGGGGAAATTTGGATTACATGTCAGGAGGAGATTTTCCCACAGAGAGGGCAGTGAGGCTCTGGCACGGCTGCCCAGAGAAGCTGTGGTGCCCCATCCCTGGAGGTGCTCAAGGCCAGATTGGATGGGCCCTGGGCAGCCGATCTGGTGGGCGGCAGCCCTAACCAGGGCAGGGGGTTGGAAATGGATCATCTTTGGGGTCCCTTTCAATTCAAGCCATTCTATGATTCTATTCCTTCACACAGAATCCCAAGAAAAGTATGGTCTTTTTACACAGGTCACTCCAAAAGCAATGCCTCCTGTTTATCTCCATGAAAATGACAACTGATACGAAGAGCACAACAGCGCTGCTCGACAGAACGAATTCTCAGCTACAAAACACAGTTGTTCAGAGCTGTCAGCACCGTTAGCTGCTCATTTTCGCCGGTCGTGAACAGCAGCCCGCACGCTGCCCTCACACCAACCTGCACCGGCACAGCCGACCCGCCGCCACCGCCATGAGACGCGCCGCCCAGTGCCTCGCTGCACTCACGGCCACCGCCTGCTCCGCAGAAACACTCAGCAAACGCCGACGAATGCCAACGACGGCCACACAGCCCGGCTCCACCCTCACAGCGCCGGGCTACGCCGCTCTCTCCGGGGACAGACAAACTTTCCGCGCGGCCTTCCGCCTTCCCCGCCGTATACGCCCGCCCCCGGGCCTTCCCCCGCCGCACACCTTGTAATAGAAGACGGCCTCCTGGTAGCGCCCGCTCTGGTCCCGCTGCACTGCCAACTGTGCGAACTTCACCGCGTCCAACTCCAGCGCGCTGGCATCCATGACGGATCCCCTCCTGCCACCCCCCCGCCGCCAGCCGCGCGCCACCAGCCCGCCTGCCGTGCCGGTCCCGCCCGACTCCGCCCCATCCTCGAGGGCCCCGCCCACCGGCACCCCACCCGCAGCCATGGGGGCGGGCTGCGCATGCGCGACGGGGGGGGGGAGCTCGCTCACTTTGCTTTATAGAGGAAGGGCACGGTGTGTGCTTGGAGGGGCTGAGTTTAGGGCTGTGAGGAGGCGGGGCTGGACTGGATTGCACTGGACTGCACTGCACGCCTATGGCGGCAGGGGGCGCGCGCAGGGCGGGGAGCGCTCCGCTGGTGATTGGTTGGGCCGTCAGACTGCGCTGAGGAGAGCTGTACCTCGAAAGCGTTGTTACTTTTAAGGCAGCGGCGTGGTTTTGTTTGTCTTGTTTTTATTTAAGAGAAGCTCTCAAAATAGCGGTGACTTTCCGACACAGAATCACAGAATGATTAAGGTTGGAAAAGCCCTCTGTATGGGATCTGTTGAGTCAGGGCTTGAAGCACTGATTGACCACCTGAGGCGAGCACTGAGTCAGCCATGGAGCACAGGTGAAGGCAATTCAGCTGTGCGATGGAAGGGCTGGAGCCGGCCTGCACCTCTCCTAGACCCATTTAAGGGCTGACTGCCCTGGAGATTGCTCTCTTTGAAGTTTTCCTATGAGCCTGGGACAGAGGTGAGCGTTTTTCATTTATTTTTGATTATTTTTTTCTGCTATGATAATCTTTCTAATTATACAACCTGTAAATGCCAGTCTAACCATGTCACTCCGTATATATATTAACTGTATGTTCTCTACTCTTCCTGAGAATAAATTTTTCCTAATATCCTACCTGAACCTTCCCTGGAGCACTTGAGGCCATTCTGCACCTGTTATCTGTTGGGAGGTTGTTATCTGTTATCTGGGCCAACCCGCACCTCATCACAGCATCCTTTCAGGTAGCTGTAGAGAGCGATCAGGTTTCCCCTGAGTTCCTTCTTCTTCAGTCTGAACAATCTCGGCTCCTTCAGCTGCTCCCCATCAGACTTGTGCTCCAGACCCCTCACAGCTTCATTGCCATTCTCTGAACACACTCCCAGGCCTTAGTGCCTTTCTTGCAGCAGTCACTGTTGTATCAGTTGACCATATGCAAGTCCATGGGGCCTGATGGGGTTCACTTCAGAGAACTGAGGGAGTCTATGGATGTTATGACTGAGTCCCTCTCAACAATTTGTCAAATGCCATGGCAGTCTGGCAGATTCCCGCTGACTGGAAGCTGGCCTGTGTTATACTCATCTACAAAAAGGGCGTAAGAGAAGGCATAGGGGCCTATAGACCTGCAAGTCTAACCTACAGACCTTGAAACATTGTAGTGAAAATTATCCTGGAGAGTAGCAGAAGGCAGTAAAAGAACAAAGCTGTTGTCAGATGTAGTCAACCTGAGATCATGAAGGGAAAACCCTGCTTTCATCACCTTCTATGATAAAGTCACCCACTTAGAGGGTAGACAGTAGATGTAATCTTTTTGAATAGTGGTGAGATCTTTGATATTATCCCTCACAGAATATTTCTGAACAAAATGTGTAGAAACTCTGAGACAAACACTTTCATATTGTGGATATACTAGCTTAATGGTAGAGCTCAAAGGATTGGAGCAAGTAGGGCTACATTTAGTTGGTTGCATTACTAGCAGTGTTCTCCAGAGCTCAGTTCTAGGGCCAGTCCTGTTCAACACTTTTATCAGTGATCTGGATGTAGGAGTGGGTTTGCATCCTCAGCAAATTTGCCAATCATACTAATCTGGGAGGTACTGCTGGCACCCTGAAAGGATGAGGAGCCGTGCAGAGGGATCTAGATACACTGAAGTACTGAGCAATCATCAACTGCACAAAGTTCAACCCTCTGAATAAGGAAAGCCTGATAATTGCCAGTGATGCTTACTGCTCTCCTTTACTTCAGGCGTTCAGTTACCCAACAAGGTTTACTGTGCAAGTAGTGGGGAACACTGTGTTTCATTGAGTTCGTATGCATTTAAACTTGCTAGTTCTTCTCAAAACTGCATTTCTGCAGTATAGTGTCTACAACTGCCATTTATTCCATTTCCCTGTTGTTACAATTGCTGCTCTAACACCATTGTAGGCCTCCTGGCACCTTTCTTGCTGTATCCTTTTTGATGCTTTATCTCTGCTTACTGTCTTTTCCCCCCTTCCCCCCTACCCCATTTATGTGCACTGAGAAGATCATACCTGTATGTATTTTCTTGATCTTATTCCCTCTGGCTCTTGTCCTTTTGCAGAGGCAACATCACATGAAGGAATTAAGATGTCATTTTTTCTTTCATCCTCCTTTGCGGCTAGTTAGACAGGATCAGATAATTCTCATATGTCCTTGCTGCATGAGATGCTTTCATCCCTATTTTCTTTCATCTTCATAATGCTATGATTTGCTGTCCCCCAGCCCTTCTTCTGACCTCCTGATTTAAATTCTTATCTCTGCCTCTTCCTCTTCTTCCATGCCTACACTGAAGGGACAGACATTTGCATGTTGGTGAAGGCTCTTACCCAACTTGGTGTTCTTTGATATTTCTACATACATTTAATCTTTGCTTGAACAGAATTCTCTTAATATCTTTGACTTATCTTTGTGGACTTGATTTTGTATTTCTCCCATGTTTTCTTTGAGATGCTGTGAGCAGAGTGGTGTGCAATATTGAAGTAGTAAATGCAGCTCTGATTTTTGTATCCTGATATAGTGCTGTTTTCTGTACTATTCTCTGTTTCTTCCATAATCACAGCAAATCCTGTACTTGACTTTTTAAACAACTGCTGAGCATTGACTGAAACTTGAAGAACTCTCCGAATGACTCATCTTTCCTGATCTGCCATTGTGTATTTAGTGTGGTGTTTCTTCCTGATGTTTCACGCACATTGAATTTCACATGCACAGTGATGTGAAATCCTTGTAATCTTTCTGTAGTGGGCTTTGACAAATCAGAATATTTTCGTATCAGTTGTGTACTTCAGCATCTTATTTCTTGTCATTTCCAGATAATTTTGGGGGGTTTATTTTACCACTTTGTTTAGAAACAGAAGTTGGATATGCTATGTCCAAGTTCCCTACAGACCTACCCCCTCTTACCACTGTGAGAAACAGCATCCCATATGTCTTGCTGATGATTTTTCTCTTTCTTTTATTTTTTTAAGAAAGGCTCTGTGTGGGAACTTTCAAGTGTCCTTGTACTGAACTGCCTTCTAATTTCTCTCTGTTTTGAGAGAGAGGAGAGACTATGCAAGGTGCTTTCAAAATCTTCAAGATCTTCAGTGTGCTTGAAATGTCAAAAAGGCCCGTGGTATCCTAGGGTGCATTAGAAACCTTTCTAATCTGCCCAGGTGAGGCCATATCTGGTGCACTGTGCCCAGTTCTGGGCTCCTCAGTTGAAGGAAGACAGAACTTTTAGAGAGGGTCCAGTGGAGGCCCATGGAGATGACTGAGGGCCAGGGTGTCTCCTGTACAAGGAAGGGGTGAGACACCTAGAACTGTTCAGCCTGGAGAAGAGAAGACCTAGACAGACAGCTGCCTGCTTTTTTTTGTTGTTTGTTTGTTTTGTTTGTTCAGAACACTGTTTAATGATGAATACTTGTTTCAACAGTAAGGTGTTGAACCTGTGTAATCAATGGTTAAATGGATTTGGCAATAATTTTCATCAGCTATGTAGCAGCAACTCGTTTTATCTTTATTTTTGGGCTTGCTTTTGTTGGGCTGGTTGGAGTTTGTTTATATTTCATATGTGTATAAATTGTCATCTGAAGTAGATTATCTGTTGACTTATTTTTATTGTAACTACCAAATTACTGGAACATAGCCTGAGTACTGTGTTGTAAGGGCTGAAGCCTTACCTGTTCCACCAAACTCTTTCCACTTTAAAAGGAAATTTTTTCTTGATTGGAAGCTTCAGAATCAGAACCTAAACTCTCTATTTTTACTTACTGGTACCCTTTTGAAATTAAGAAGCCAAGTAAAACATAATTGAACACAAATTCTTTATGTGAACATATGATATTATAATTATTAGTATGCTAGAAAGCACTGCTAGAGATCATTAGTATTGATAGAACTTTGAATATATAAAACTATTTGATAAAAGAAATCAGCTACATTGTGCCACTAGATGTCCACCTACTATTAGATTGGAGTTAGAAGTTTTTGCATGGTTAAAAAAGCAGCCAAAAAAACCTTAAGACACATCTGTAACAGATTTTACAAATACAGATTGTGTTATTTTGGCTCATTTTGTTATTTTTGTTAGGCTTAAAGAGATTTAGACTTGGTTTCCATGATCAAACATCCAGTATTGAGACTGACTGGAAGTTTTAGCGTTTGCCCTGTCCCTGCCCTCCACCCTTCAAAGAACAGAGAAATAGCAATATGAATTATAAAGTCACATTGCCTTTGTTCTGTAGGTAACTTTTGATTAAATAGCACTGTTTCACCAGAAATTATCAGCATCCTCCAAAATTTTTAAAATTAGTTTATTAGGAAAAAAGTATGCCCAAAGTAAAGAATTCCTCTTTATACAGTTAAAGCACCTTCTTGGCTTTATTAGAGATTGTAATTTGTGGCATCTGTTTGGAAACAAATGGTTGTGATGAGGGGGATTGTGGTCTTAACAGTAGAATAAGGGAAGAGAATAGAAAAATGTTTTGTTAGAAACAGTGTTGTTCACCTTTGTAAGAGCACTTCTTTTGAGTGTAGACTATTCCTTTGATCTGTAGACTTTTCCTACTGACTGTGTTGACTAGGAAAATGACCTAACAGTGAAAGAATCATAGAATCATAGAATCACCAAGGTTGGAAAAGACCTAAAAGCTCATCCAGTCCAACCGTTCACCTATTCCCAATAGCTCCCACTAAACCATGTCCCTCAACACAACATCCAGCCTTTCCTTGAACACCCCCAGGCTCGGTGACTCCACCACCTCCCTGGGCATCCATTCCAGTGCCTGACCACCCTTTCTGAAAAGTAATACTTCCTCATGTCCAGCCTGAATCTCCCCTGCCGTAGCTTGAAACCAT